AGATCATAAAAATTACTGGTACAAGTATTACTATATACTAGTATATTGTACAAACAGTTGTACCTTAATATTTGATATACTTCTGATGATCTTCCTTCTCTTAGTCTCAGCTTCCATGCTCCTGGCTTACCCTTTAGCTGGAAATAACCCTAACAATAACAAATAACATTAAAATTGAAATTTGAAAAGGAAAATTAGCCAAATTTTGTCAAAAATGAAAAGGTGAATATTCTTCCTTTTTATATTTTTATCTGATGCATATACATGTTCTTATGTTGTGTAGAAAGTTTGAGCTGATTCCGCCAAAAATTATATTTTTTACAAATATTTTAAGTTTCTCTAAAATTGGGCCGGTCAATTGGGCCAGTCACACGGTCATTGGCCAAATTTTGTCAAAAATGAAAAAGTGAAAATTCTAGAATTTTATACTTTATTCTGATACATATACATGTTTTTATGCTCAGTATCAAGTTTAAGCTGACTCTGATCAAATTTGGATTTTTTATGAATTTTTAAAGTTGCTTAAAAATCATACACTACAATATAGTGTGTGTATAGTATAATGTACTTACAAGATTAGACATTACTATTGTATCATATAGTTCAGGATTAGTATCAGTACCCATCACATACTGTAGACCAGGTATAGGAGAATCCATATGAGCATCAAAACACTGTCCTTAATAATAAATAAGAGACACAGTAAATTGCTTTTCATTAGTTACTGTACTATCATTATTAAACACAAGCCCATTGATATTATATCTAGATTAAATTTTGGGAGACTAAACTAGCTAAAATGGTAGACTTCATGACACATGGCAAAATATGAGTGACCAAAAGCTATAGGAGATTTCAGGAAATTGCAAATTTTTTCTACATGTAATGGTGGAATTGACCTTTGCTGGTTCACTTTTCTTTCTATCTCCTTCCCTCCCTCTTTCCCCCTCTCTCTCCCTCTCTATCTCTCGCTCTCTCTCCTCCTTTACCTTCAACCTTAACTGCATTGACTTATCCCCAGCTGGTACCTCCTTAAGATCTGAAGCAGAAGCCACTGAACTCTCAAAACTATCAATAGGAGAGAACCTCAAGGTATCAGGAGTTAGAGGAGGAGGAGTATCTTCAAGAGGAGGGACCCTAACTCAAGAGGACACCGAGGGGACTGGGGCCCGTTGGAACTGGTACTTGATCTCTGCCGTCATGGCAATGAGAGGTTGTCCCTCTCCT